TCAGATGCACAGAATAGCCAAGAGCACTATGTGTGTCACATCCCTAAAGGGGAACTTTGCACAGATAAACCAATTGCTGCTAAGAAAGTGAGGAGAGGGAAACAGAACAAACACAGGGCATCCCAAACAGGCAGTCATACTGACTGTAGCCCTGAAACTGTTGATGATCCAAAGAAACCTTCTGTTCCATTAAATCTCACAGCAGATGGATGGACAAAAGGGATCACAGACAATTCTACAATGAAGACAGGTAGAAAGGCAAACCACAAATCGTCGTCGTCGGACTGTGAACAGAGGACATCTGGGACAGATAAGGCTGCATTTCGGTCACAGATACAGGGGGATAACGGTCCCAGTCCTGATGACAAAAGTCCTAGCCATGGATACTGCAAATCTCCCACACATACCCCAGACAACCTCAATGTTGTGTTGGCAATGAACCAAGAATTACATCAGAAACAGGAACTGCTTGATAACAGACCACTATCTGATAGTCAGAGAGGAATCACAGTGGATATTAATGATAACAACATAGATACTGGCGACAGCCCACCCTCCCATGATACCATATCATACTCTCTGACTCCACTGTCTTCCTCACCACCTCCTATTTCCTCCTCCTCTCCTCTACCATGTGCCTCAACAGAGCCAGATGATGATCTTCCCACACCTGTGCAGGAATCCCAACCTGTCCCCTCAGCCCAGCAACAGCCCTCTCTGTCCATATGCCACACCCCACCTACACTTTGCTCTACCTCCCCCACAACACAAAAAGCCCCTGATTCCCAATTTCTTCCTAACAACAACCTCCAAGAGATGAGTGTTGTCTTTTCTGCATCAACTACATCTACCACAAGTGTCTCTTCGTCCTCATTCTCCACTGCCACACTTTTAAGCCTGTCCCAGCCTACCCAGGAATCGTCTTCACCTGCGCCTGGGACTCAACATTCAGCATGTTTTCCAGACTCTATTTCCCGTCCCCAGTCGCAGCCTAATCTGAACATCCAGCCTTACAAACAAATCAAGCAAGGTTGCACATGGAGCATACAAGACAGGTGCAGAGGTGAGTGTTGAAATATGGCTTAGATTTAAAGCACAGTACAATACATGTTGAGGAGTAGCTTATCCTTTGTTGTTACAGTCTGTTCTGGCAACAGTGAAAAAGTGCTTTACAAGTTGGGATTGTAATCAAAAAGGAAAATGGCCACTATATTCCCCTGGTCTGTGGGTTTTAAGCAATAAACAAAAGAACAGCAAGTTTTTAAAGTCAAATGTGTACTTCCTAATACAAATATGATCGATTAATGTGTACTCTGAAAGGTCCCAGTTTGGCTGAGGAGGAGACAGACAGTGATGATGATGGTGAACTGCCTCGACGTGGCCACAGATCCCAGGCCAGAGCAGTGGCAGGAAACAGAAATGGAGCCATGCAGAGCGAGTCTGGTCCATCCAATCAGCGGGAAATACAACCTTTCTCTGCTCACCAAATGTCCAAGATTGCAGAAGAGATCGACCTTTCCTTCAAAAACAATTGTGAGTTGTTTCTGACCTCATATTGGAAATAAGATTCAACATCAGGAATCACCTTCTCTCCACCCTTGTGTCTTTTGACACTATCTCTAATCCTACAATATCACCATTATTATATAGCAATATTACTACAATAAACCCACAACTGCTGTTGTTGTTTTTACATTTACATGTGTTTGAATGTAAATTGACAATATATGACAGAATAGATTAAAGTGTTACGACAGACGATATCACAAGAGACGTAAATTCTCTGCCCTGTTGTTGCCAATAACACGCTGCAAATAGTGTAAAAAACAATCACATAGTATGGAGATACCATATGATTACATGTATTTTTCGTGGGGTAATTTAATTCCCTGACGTTGATTAGATGAGTTTGGGGATTTTTTTTGATGAATGCTCCTCATCAGCTTTGCACTAATGAGATACACTTATGCTCTCATGACTTCTTGTATGGTGATTAGTTTCTATGGCAATAAGGATAAGATACCCTTCACTTACATGTACTGGAATGTGTGTTGAATATACGCTTGTGTAGGCTCCATATTGGCTTCCTGTAATGAGTCTGAGAGCGAGGGGTCAGTGCCTGAGCTAGAGGAGCCAGAGCCACTGAGACCATCAGAGCCCCAGGTGAGTCGGCTCCTGCTGCTTTATTAGAAACCATCTTTTCCTCTTCTGAGGTTCCTATATCTTGTTATAACACAATTTTAACACTTAGAACACATAATACTTCATGACATGTGATATTGGAACTACATTGAGATTATGTTGAGAAATATAACCTTTTTTCAGATTCCAATCTAAATCGGGGAAGCCTAAAAACTAAAACGCATGTTATGTGAAGATCTTGATGTGACAATTTAGAATTACAGCTGGGGAGAGCAGCTGGTGTATAGGCAATTGTAGTTAGTTGATACATTTTTATTTTTTTATGTTTTAAGCAAATTGCAGTTACTGATGTTGCTATAAACATAAAATGCATTGCTTCCTGTGTGTGCAAGAGAAAACAAAACTGTCTGACATCAAAAAAATAGCCGTGAAATCCTAACTGGATATAAGATGAGTCACATTTGGTGATATTAGCAGAATTGACAAATGGAAAAGATTATTATAGTAAAGTATCTGATATTTGTTCTTTCTTTCAGTCTATCTCCTTTCCAGATGAAGGGCTAAACAGACCAAAACAGAGTCGCAGTGAGAAGAAGGCCCGCAAGGTCAGACTATTGGCTGAATAAAAATAAATGAATAAATCAAGTGGAGTGTAAATGACACCAGTCTTTATTTTTTGTTATTTTGTCTTTATTCCTGACTATCTCTGCTGCTGTATGTGTTGTGTAGGCCATGTCTAAACTTGGTCTGAAGCCGGTCTATGGTGTGACCAGAATCACCATTAGGAAGTCCAAGAGTATCTTGTTTGTCATCAGCAGACCAGATGTGTTCAAAAGCCCCGCATCAGATATTTACATTGTATTTGGAGAGGCAAAGGTAAGTCTTTCTTTCTTTCTTTCTTAGTTATTCAAGCTTCAGCATATGTATTGTATTGCCTCTCAACCTCTCCTTTCCTGTCAGATTGAGGACCTATCTCAGCAGGCTCACAAAGCGGCTGCAGAGAAATTCAAGGTGCCTGTGACCTCTTCTCCCTTGGCCCCACCTGTCCCACCCAGCCTCACCATCAAGGAAGAGAGTGAAGAGGAGGAGGAAGAGGTACTTATTGTCTAAACTATTGTTTCTGAATAACATATCAATGGTATACCAATATCAAAGTAATGTCAGTACTGTATGTTGTACCGTTCTGTAAAATCTTTTATTCTGTTGTTAACTTTATATCTCTCTTTTTTTCTTTGTTATACATCAGGTGGATGAGGGAGGTCTTGAGCAGAGGGATATCGAGCTGGTGATGGCTCAGGCCAATGTGTCACGAGCCAAGGCCGTCCGGGCACTGAAACACAACAAGAATGACATTGTGAATGCTATCATGGTGAGGAAGAAGGAGGGGGAAGGAGGTAGTGAGAGAGGAAGAGGGTAGAGGGAGGGCAGATGGTGAACAAAGTGATGAGTCATAGCCAGTGGGCGGGGACTGTATAGAGTAGATAGAGGGGGGACAAAGAGGACAGATGACAAGTAGAGATTCTCCCCAGTAACTGAGCAACCTTTACAGTTCTGTGGGTCATCAGTGCAATTTGATGCCCACCAGGTGGCAGCAACAGCTCACACTGAGAAAACTTAGCTGTTTTGGTGACGCAGTTGATTTTTTTTTGTTGATGGGGTGCAAAGCAAGATGGAGCAGCCTTTAGATCACTAGCAAAAGTTGCCTGAGTAAAAACAGAGCCTGTCATACTAGTCATCCCAGTCAATTGTATTTATTTATGTAGTGTGACATCAAGAGTGACTTCAATCTTCATTTCAATTATGGGACGACTGTTTTGTATTCTGATTTAATGAAGGAAAATCAGTTGTAATAGTTTTGTATTCAACTGAATTTGATTTATTCACAATGACTATTTTCACTGTTTGATTGTACCATTCTTCTTTGTATCTCTTTTCTCTTTCTGTCTCTTCCGTCTCGCTCTCCTTCCATTTAGGAGCTGACCATGTGAGTGGTGAGGACGATTTGACTCCTGACCCCCTCCTCCAGTCTATAAAGCCTATACGCCACTGACTCTTCTGTATCGCTGCTACTGTATGTTGCATCCCCAATATCTGCTAAATAAAGTCTGTTCCAACGTGGGCCGTGACTGCATTGTAAGGTTGATTTTACTGAGAGATCGCAGATGGTTCAGTGTTGGTTGTTCTAAAATGAGGATACTTCCAATTCACCTCAGATTGGAACCTGCTATCACACAAATTAAGCAACAACAATATAGTTCGATAAAAAGTTAAGTTTTGTTATGCTGAGTTAACAAGCCTATATTTGCATGAGCAAATAAAAAACACACAAAATGTTTATTTTTCATCCACATTTCAAAGTCTTCAGGTGATTATCTATTTGGTCTAAATTGATTTTTAATGTGAAAGGCTGTTATATCATCACAGGCTGTTCATGTATCAGATGCCAAGGCCCGGGTGAAATGGGGGAAAGCACTATTTCTGGTAATGGCTTTTTAACCAAAACATTGCAAATATGCTGCTCTGTAAGATTATACAATGATTGTTTTAATGTTTTGCAATAGCAGTCTGCAGTTATCGAAGAAATACTTTGCCTTGCTAAATTGTTTTTTGGACCCAGGAGATTTATGCAAGTCTCACAATTATTCAGACCTTTAATACCAACCTCGAAAAAAACAGTTTGCAACTAACATTGTCTAAAATGTTCCTATATTATTCATACTCCATAGACTCACACTTCAAAATACCAGACTCAGATGTGACATTTAAAAAAAAAGAAATATGTCATTATGAAATTAAACTCTAATTTTGTTCTCTTTCTCACTCTCTTATAATGTCACACAATTCAGATGACACAAGCGTGCCCAGACAGATGCCAAATGCATTTCTGACAATCTATCAACTTTATTGTACAAAACTCATTAGAATACAAAACACACACTCGAGACTGCAGGGTTCTGCTTTGACAAGTTGTGGCAATAACACAAACACATACCAAGAATGTTGATTTATCAGCTTTAAATTATATGCAATGAAATGTAAACGCGTAAAGCCTGTCCCTTTGACTGACTTAGCTACCATTTCCCCTCAAATACAGATGTGAGGCTATGATGTATTTCAGTGCGTGAAAATATGAAAGTATTGGCATTAATGAATAAAATACTGTCACAGGAAATGTAAATAACCAAATGAACAATCCAAATGGTCACTGGAAATGTTTTGTTAGCAAAGTCAAACAGTAGTGCTTCTTTTATTCTAAACACTATGGCGTAAACGGGTCCATAAAAAACAGGACATGGACCTCAAACCAGGGTGCATTTCATCACTCAAAATCAATACAAGATGGTAGAATGGATCTCTACTAGGCAGGGAGTGGTGCTCTCCTGAATATTCTTCATAGCAGTGCAGGCAGATAACTTCAGACTGTCCAGTCAAGTGTTGGGGATCTATACATCATTAGGTGGTGGTCTTAGCTGGGAGGACGTTGTTCTCAAAGTGTCCCTGGTTAGTGATATTCCCAGCGGGGAAGTACCGAGCCACCACGAAGGAAGACCCGTCTGATGCAGTGGCCTTACCGACACCCAGCTTATTACTGCTCTTCCACACCATCGCTGTGAAATGGCCTAGGTGGTGAGTGAAATGAGAAAGAAAAAATAGAAAGAAATTAAAGGCAGAAAGAGCAGGGTGAAAAAACGGACTTGTTATGACACATTCAAAGCTGAGTGCAGTTCCTCCAAATATTTACAGACGAAGGAATCTTGATTTCCTGTCTCACTCATCAGTCCCAAACCTCCCTGCATACTTCATTCCTTTCTATCTCTTATACTTTATATGATCAGTGTGAATTATGATTAGCTCCTAAGCGATCTCCTTTATGTGTGATTAAGTTAAACAGACTCATGCACACTTGAGACTGAGGCTATTGGGAAACCATCTGGAGGAATTAGGCCAGACTGGAAATGTTGTGTGGGCGGAAAAGTGATACATTGGACTGTGGTTTCCCCATGGCTGGTCACTGTGAATCACACAGTCACACACTGGCTGAGGTGTGACATCAGCGGGGGGATAACAAAATCTGTGCCCAAGCCTGGGTAAACATGACACAGAGACAGAGAAACTGACATGGAGTTCACAGAAAATGACAAAGAGAAACAAAACAAGAAATGACACATTGAGATGAATGCAGTGAAGAAAAAAACAGGAGAAACATATGAGAAGGGAAGTGTTTGATTTAATGTTTCAGGGCACAAGATTTTAGTTTTACATATGGTGATACACAAAACGGATGTTTGAAAATGTGACTTTTAAAGAAGATTTTAATAATATTACATTTTCCTATTGTATGTGATGAGCAAAGTTCTCATTATTTCAGGACTTCTACGAATGATTATTTTTCCTTTATTAGTCCCTTGATTAACATCTGGGATATTAAATGTCAGAAAATAGTTACAAATACAATTCACAGTTTCCCAAAGCAAGTTATTTAAATTGCTTGTTTCAGTCCAAAACACATTGATATTCACATTTTTGTTTTTCTTAAAAATTAACAATGGCTTATTCGTTTTCTGCCAATCAACGAATCAACTCATTTTTTCAGGTTTCATTTTTTATTATGATTTTGATAATATATTGGAAAAGTTGTAATGATTATTTATGATTATCCTAGCATATAATGTAATTCTGGCCAATTTGTTGTTATTGAGGGGGTTTGCCACTGACTGAAATATGAAAAGAAGTGAGAGAAATCTCACCAGTGGCAGAGGAGAATCCAGGGCGGTTGAAGTTGTACTGTTTCACTTCGTCATACCAGCGGTCTGCAACATCCTTACCTGCACATGCACAGAACAAAGTGTAACCTCATCTTCAAGGACAATCAAATCGGTTTTATGTTGTACATATTGATCAGAATGGGAGCAATATAAGAAGACCCTTAAACTACAAATCTTATTTGAGCACATGTTGTTTACGATGCTGAACTTTCTGTCACCCAGTGCTGCACTTTATTGCTGCACTGTAGGAGATGTTTTATGAATCACACCGTCCTGCGCTGACATATTTCTGCAGTGAGTCATGGTGTCTGAGCTCTCAAACACTCTGCGAAGTGGAGGGGAAATAGATCCCAGCTGTTCACTTTCAGGGTAGGACAGTCTGCTTGAAGCCCCATAGACTAAACCTTTGGGCCTGAATGGAGGGATGTGTATCTCAGGAGGACATATACCAAATCATTCAGTTTTATGAATAGAATATTGCGTATATATATATATATATATAATCTGATTGGTGTGTACCTGATTGGTCATAGGAGGCCCATGCAAGGTTCTCTCCACAGCTCCCTCTACTGGACTCCACACTGTGTTTCAGGATCCGTGTACTGGCCAGACTTTCAGCATAACTGTAGACCAGGACAAAGAAAGTTGTGAATATCTTTTTTCTTTTTTTTTTCCAGTTTTGAATCCTGCAACAAAATCCACCTCTTTCCTGGAAAGAACTTTAAAACTTTAAAGCAGGCAATTTCTTGAGACTTAGGCTTTCCAGAAGTCTCCGTTTTTGAAAGCTTGCTGCATTGTGTCGTCTTCCACACCTAAAAAGTAAACAGTGAAAGATCCATACCTCAGATGTTTTATCTAGTGTAAAAATGCTTAACAGGCACAGAAACCAATTCCTAGTCTAAACAATCTCTTTTGGTAAATGGGTTGATGTTATTACTGCAAAGATCATCTGGGGCTTACACAATATTTCCATAAAGTTCAATCTGTTTTATCAACACAGTGTTAATGCGGTGACATCATTTACTCCAATTTATAATCGCTGGTGTTACTGCAGGGACATGGTTCAACACCTGGGCCTGGTGGTAACTTATTCATGTCTCTATTTAAAAGACTGTATTGACAATTACGTGACTCCCATGAGACTCTGACAACATGGTGTGGATAAACCACACATGCTCCTCATCACAAGATGGAAAGACAAACACCAGCTCTTCAAACACATGTTCAGTGAGCTTTTTTTACTTATTTTGTTTTTTAATCTGCAAATTATCCCCAAGACATGTAGCTGTAAATGAGCGAATGCTGCTCCTGAATAGGGGGGACACGGTAATGATTGCGTCATTTTGGTAAGTGCCTTTACAAATGTCAATTGACGCACACAAATCAAGTCCCAGTGAACTTGCTACGCTTTAAATGATAGATTATCTCCAAACGCAAAATTTTTACCATCATGGTTATAAACAGTATGGACTGTTTTATCGCTTTCTCTTCTTTTATGATACAACATATTAAAATCAATTGAGGAATACATTCTTCTTTTCCAAACATTATATAATGCTTTTAATGTACATTGCCAAATCAGATATCATAAAATGAAAGGTTGTTTAGCAGATTAATGTAGCTATTGCACCATGAACTATCTGTCCAAGACAGATAGTTGTCTCTATCTTTCCTGACAGCACTGATGAAGTTTGTATTTACTCAACACAATTAATTGTCAACATAACTCGTAACAAACCAGAGTCCTCAATATCATATATATATTTTGTAGTTATTTCATGTGAAAGGCTGGAACTGTCACTGTTATCCAGAGCAGGTTAACAATGACTGGTATGAGTAGAGATGCTAATAAGGTTTCTAATTTGATCTGTGTGTGCATCAACCCACCGGGTAGCCTCGCTGCTTAACTTGCTGTTCAGCTTCATTGGAGGAGCCTGGTGCTTCCTCCTGAACTCATTATGGCATCGCAGCACCTCCTCAGCAAACTGCTTCGAGGCTGACACACAGGGAGGAGAGAGGCAATAAGGGGTTAAGCAGCAAGAGAGAGCAATCTGACAAAGGAGAAGGGATGATGCAACATGACGATTCATGCATGGCTGCAGAATACAAACTCGAGCTGAAGTGTGAGTTTATCACCTGAAGTCTGAATGACCTCAGAGTACAAGACATGACAGATGATGGAGTAGAAAACGTCATCCACATCACCCCCCGCTGCCCGGTGCCTATCACTCACTGGCCTTTTCATGAGTCCCACAATCTCTCGAGTGCCCACACAATAGGCACATTGAAATAGCCACACACACACCACCACACCCACACACACACACAGACACATACACAAAGAATACAAATACTAATGCTGCCTAACAGCCGGCATCTACTCAGCATGCTGCAAGAAAAATGTTAACTAATTATCAGTAAAAGCCATTTTGAAATCTTACTGCAAGCACCGTTAAAGATGAAACAAGTTAGTAATTTATTTTGCTGTTTAGTATTTGTTCTGTCCTACTTTTCAAAGATAGCAAAGCTCACAAACACATGCAGTAAACAAGCAAGCCCACACATGCCCACACACAGTTTCATGGGGGCAAAGTTCTAACCCAAGCCAAATTGATGGAATCAGAGTTGATATCTTCAGTGTGCAGTTTTCACTTACCTGATTTTCCCATGGTGCTGACGCAGGAAGCCTTCAGTAAGATAGCTAACAGGCTTAGCACTGAACAGCCTCTCCCCTGTCTTGTTTTCTGCTCTTGCTCTCTTCCTCTCTGCCTCTTTCTGTGTTGCTTGCTCCCTTTCTCTCTCTTCCTGTATTGCTGTCTATCTAATGCTGATGTTTTGAAACAGCTGCTAATACCTTTATTTCGGGGCCTTCCTTCAATTCCTGTCTCATTCCACGTTGAATGTACAGCAGTTGTGTCGAAGTTCCTCTTCAGCTATTAATCTGGGTGTAGAAATCATTATGTAACATGCTTCTTCCTCAAATTTTGCTTCAACCTGCCTTTCTCTCTCAAAGCCACACACACACACACACACACTACTTTCTGCATGCCCTATCGTTATGGCTCAGAGGAGCACACGCCCACTTCATGTCTTTACATTCCCACGAATGAAAGGGGAGCCCCTTGCAGACGTTGGTGACATCATCTCTGTGAGACACATGCCCATATATGGCTCTGAGATTCTTGTCTTCTCTAACTTGGTAGCCATGGACAAGAGAATGTTACTCCTAGCAGCCGTAACCACAGTGGCTTTTCTCACACTCCACACTGTCATGATGCAGCATTGTACAGTATCACGTACAATGTGGGCCACACTGTGATACTCACCGTCATTTCTGAACTGAAAGCTCACTATTTGTTCACTTTTACTAATGCTGATATCAAGGTGCTTCAGTCTTTAACAAAAACATATTGGAAGACTTTCCACCGCCATCCTTTAGTTTCTCCAGTAACTTCTGGATCAATAAGTTCCCCCTAACACACCCAATGGTAAAACAAGTGATCCCTTAACCTCCACCGGAATGAAAAAGCAATGATTGAACAATTTGCCTACTCTAGTTGACACAGGGAGAGGCAGAATCTCCATTCAGCATGCTGCAGAACAGGTTTCCACCATTTGTTTTGTCTGTTTGAGGTATGCTACCTTCTGTGCCTTAATGGTATTTCTGAACTGGCATATCTATCATAAAAAAAAAAAAAATGAAGATACCTGCTCTAACAAAGGCTGGAATGGTGTGCAACCGAACCTAAAATGAATTACCTCATGTTTTACTGTACATCTCATAACTCAGCTTTTGAAATTGTCTCTCCACTTTTTGTATAGGCTACAGCTTGTCGAGAATGAACACTTTAGAAAAATGCCCCTCTTACACCCTCTAAAATCAATGGGACGTCATTGTGTCAGCACCAAGTGTTGTGATGAAACTGCTTAATGTGTAATAGTGGAATGCTGAGCTTGATTGTTAATCTCCCAGTTGTGAATGTGAGTCTATCAACACTTTGTTAGGCTTGAATAAATGAAGGTCAATGAACACACAGTTACGTTGTGATTTTGTAGCTATGGTAGCATAGTCTAGCGCCATCATTTGTTCAAAATCTCAATACTTTGGTTTATAATAATATACCAGAGTTACATCCTCAGCTTTACTTTGCTAACATACTAAACTAAGATTCATCCGTATAATGTTATTGTGGGCATTTTGCCATGCTAACATTAGCATGGTTCAAAGTTCATATGTTTAGCCTCACAGAAGCGCTAGCATGGTGGTTAACTCTTGGTCTTATACTCCCTTGCCACATTTTGTAATGTCACTGTCTTGGAAACTGTTGCATAAATTCATGCTGTTTATGCAAGAAGTTATAATTCCAATAGTTTGCAATATATGCGTGAGCTTTAAAAGAGGTCTAACAATCATCATTTTTTTTACATGTGATTTCTTTAGTCATTGCACTACAGCACCACAGTATAAAGATAAGGAAAAGTCTAAAAAAAATGATATATGAAGAAATTTGCCAACATTGATGGAAGACTGTTTTTTAAAAGTTTTTTAATCAAATTATGTAATTATTTCTTGTTATCGGTGGACAAAGAAAATGTACCCAGAGATTCTGAGATGTCTTTCTAGTCATCGGCCCACATACACATTTCCTGAACATACAGTATTCGTATTGTAAATATATTAGTAGCATTTTCTGTCTATGTATGTTACTGCACTAATTGTTAGTATAAAAGCAACTCTCCCTTCCCTTCATCTGCTATTTTTTGGCAGATGTCCAACCTACAACAAGAAGTTTTTTCTGTGATTCAAAAAGACTATTAATGTATCATCATTTAAAAGTATAACATTGGGTACAATGGGAGTGTGTGTGTGTGTGTTTGTGAGGTTGTTTTACCCGTCTTGTGGGGACATCTAATTACACAGTGAGATTGTGGGGACTCGCCCTTTTTATTAAATAATGGGGACATCCCCATTACAAAAATCATTATATTTTAGGGTGAAAACTTGGTTACGGTTAGGGTCAGGGTTAGCGTAAGGGTTAGTCTCCAGAAAATGAATGTAAGTCAATGTAATGTCACAAAAAATCGCAAGTGTGTTTGTATGTGTGTGTGTGTGTGTGTGTGTGCGTCACTCTGGATTAAAAAGAATTCACATTTTGGAAATCCAACATTGTGTTTTTAAATTCCCCCACCATCATTATTATCCAAGGGGAAATGTGTGTGAGACAAATATTTCCTTAAGGGCCAACCAGTGAGTTTTAATCCATTTAGTTTCAATAAAAGAAACAATAAAATAGTTACATTCAATTTATATTCTTTTCATTTTTTTTTTTTTTTTTTTTTGCATTGTGAGATGTTTCACTTTGCCCACCCCCTCATCTGTGATCCTTTTAAATGTAATTATTGAAAATTCCACAAGGTGGGCCTGTTAGCAAAGATACTGAACAAGGATGTGGTTGGACTATTAGTCACACTAAGTGCAGCTAATGACATCTTAGTTTGATAATATGAGCGGACATGATGGGATTCATGTGAAAAGTCAAGCCACTTGATTTCTCATTAGCTGGATAGTGCTATCTTAACAAATTGATTTCCTCCTTGGTTCCTCCTACCATCTGCATAGTGATGGGACCGGACAGCTGGAAGAAGACATTTACATAGTGGTGTCGAGCCACTTAGACTTTACAACCATACATCTTAATTCATACTAATTGAGATAGCTGTGGAGTGCTGCGTGCATTTGTGGTGTGAATGTGTGTATTTGAGTGTGCGCATGGGCACATGCAGTAGGAGGGATGGTGATGTGATTTATAGAGAGAACCCCTTTTAGAGGGACAGTACAGACATCGATCCATGCAGATATTACATAATTTATCTCTGCACATTGGCTATATCTGCTGTACTTATTGCTTGGCTCCCCACCCTGTCAGCTTCGACATCCTTCCTTCGCTTCTCCTCTGCTCCCCATCACTTTCCTTGTCTCTCAACTCCTCCCTTCTTTTCCTCCAATCTACAATTTTCATTTTTTCCTTTACCTGAAGCCCCTAATGAAAATCTCCCAGCACATCCCTTATAAAAAAGAAAGGAACACCAAATTCTTTCTGGGCCAGAAATAATTTTCCACTCCTGTCATGACTGAAGTGGATGTGGATTTATGGCAATAGAAATGTGAAATAACTCTAACTGGGGTTGTAAGTGCACTTTGTTGCATATAATTCCTCTTTAGCGGTCCCAGGAGGAAGGTTAGGACTTTTTAATAACTCCTTCCATTCACCTCCATCCTCATTAAGAGGTCTAGTTGAGTGAAAATGGAGAGATCTGCTGAGGAGGTGTTGAGTGGATTGATCTCAACCGAGAGAAGGAGAAGTGAGGGGGTTGCACTTTTTCGAAGGAGTTGTTGGAAGCTCTCTCTCCAGAGCTCTGCTCCAGAATTTGACACATCAAGAAGCCTTTTATGGTGTCATTAGTGTAACTGTTCCACCGAGGACAAATGATTCTGCAGGTTAAGAGGAGTTAATCACCTGCCAATCAAACTTCATCAAGGCCCCTCTACGGATGAGGCTCTATACAAATCTCATCATATTTAAGGAGCCTTCAATTAAGCAGATACAGGCACGGAGACACATGCAGAGAGGAGAGAGTGACAGGGCGAGCAGAGGGCAACAGGAAGAAAGACAGAGATAGAGGGAGACAGAGACAGTAAGCAGAACCGGACGACTCCTGTCTGACACTAAGCAGCAGAAATGTAATGTCTTAAAAGGCCATCGCAGTCAATAAACTTCCTAATGTGCTTAAAGCAATTACTGTGTCCGGAGAGGACCAGAGTGCATGCAGGATATTAACCTCAGTAACCCGCTCTATCTGGTCCGTAATTAAATTATCCTCACATCCTCATTCAAATACAGACACACATAAACCAGTGCACACACTCATGCAGCCATACGTTGATGCATGTTCACATAAAGTGTGTAAAATAAGAAAAACAAAGCAGAAGAAAAGTGAGAGATAGATGATGATGTGGAATCCCAGCACTACAAATATAGTTTGACCTTGATATTGATTGACATGTTATGTTTTGGTATAGCTGTTATAGTGTCCTAACATATTGTAGGTTTCCATGCATCCATTTTAGGATATATGTACAACCATCTGACAGTGTCAAAGTTCTCTCCCTCTCAGTAACAATTCTTTTTTAATGTTCCAAAGTTTCCTATAATTCCCTATAAAAGAACTGAAGTGTAGGCCTAATGTCACAAAGAGAGCCATGGAAAAGACGGCAATTCGGTCAATCAAATCAACATAGATGGGTATAATTACATTTCCAGTAGGAAATAAACAATGAATGCCTGTTTACTTAGCTTCAGAAGGAGTGTTTCTTTACAAACCTACAGGAAAATGCTAAGAAAATTAAAGCATTTCAGAAATTCCATGTTCTCTTCCACCTGTTTGTATGAAATGTTCATTGTCCTCTTTGCTCTCGCTGTGTTCATACTGTAGGCCCTTTGATCCTGACTGACATTTTGATCTGCCTGTTTCTTTGACTCTTCTTCCTTTCTCACTCTGTTTTATGTGTATTCAAATTGAAATAGCTGTCAAATTAGTGTAGCTAATAAGCTCTTCAAGTTGATTTAATACTGTTTAATCGTTGTCATACAAAATATTTGCCAGGGAGAGCCAGGCCAGAGAGGAATCTTGACACTACGGATGCTAATTATTGCTTCTGAAAATAACTAACTACCCTTAAGCATTTTTATATGTTCCCCGAAGGAGCTTTTCTCAGCATCTGGGACAGCTTCTATGTCTGGAATGGGCAGCAAGCTAATTTAGTATTTCTGGATGGTGCCTCTTTGGCTTATTTTGCTTGTTTGTATTGTTAAGTAATATTTTCCGACCTTGCCTTGGGAATTCTAAGCTGCTGCTTTGGGTGAATATAACAAAAAAGAATTGTGAGCATGATTATGCTTATGAATATGTGTGTGTGTGTGTGTATGTGAGTGGGGGGGCTTTTTTCTAGGTGTGCATTGTTTCCCATGCTGGAGAGGACTCGATTTCTCTGGCGAGACGATACAGGAGGATAGGTTTTCTGGAAA